TGAATCATTTGGTGACAGTGACTTTTCCTTAATTCCTTTATGCATTCTTGAAAAACAGATCCTTGAAAAATAGAAATAGCCCTAAATTTTTACAGCAACTTTCCTCCCACTTTTACCTCCCAGTGCAAGTATCTTCCTCTGCATGGACTCGCCATACTGAGCTGAAGCATCTGATCTTGAGCCATCTTTGTCCTCCGAGAGCTATCTCCTTTTCAGATCTCTCTGCTGGGCAGCATAGGAGAGCATCTTGCTGAACTGGTAAAACACGATAGACAGACTTTTAAAGAATCAGACTTTTGTGCTTGGAGTCCTGAGTTGGGTTTTCCCTTCACTTCTGCTTCTTTGGGGAAGTCTTGAAAAATACTGTTCAGCCATTACTGCAGGGTGTTGGTGGCAGGTGGGCAGTCATAAGGAGAAGTCTCTGGTTGACTTCAGCCGTGCAATGTTGCCCCTGCTACAAATGGGTAAGCTGTGGATAGACACCCAGCAGCTGCTGTAAATCCCAGACTGCACCAAGAACAAAATACAGACCAATTGTATCCATGTTCTACATTGCTGGGAAGATTATAGATGAATGGGAGGAGGTGCTTTAGGTCCTATGATATGCTGGCTGCATAAGGGCACGAGATATAGTGCAAAATATTCCTGTAAATGAAATAATTGCATATATTTTGAGATGCAGCATAGTGTGAATAACAAAATAAATGTTAGGCCTTACTAATCAAATAACTCACACCCAGCTTTATTGGTATAAGTTATCTTGGCTAGCACACAGACGATAATTACTGGCATTCATAAAGCTCTGTGGCTGTGAAATGCACCCAGCAAAATTCTTGGTTGGTATTTTTAAGACTAGGGGGAGCCTCCTCTGTGACTTCAGTCATGCCTGCTTTTCAAACAAAGCAAGGTAGCCAGATTTTCCATCTGTGACCGGGCTGGCCCACGGGGTGCAATTGCACAGAGCAAGCTGGTGCTGTGATGCTGGATCCCCTCTGTGGGAGCAGAGCCTGCTGCACACCCCAGGGCAGCAGAGGGACATTGTTTTGCCTGTGCTGCATGTAATCTGATCTGAAGGTTGAGCGGGTAATCACCTCCGCGGGTGGCCCTCCACATACCCCTGCTGGGGAACTGTTCAGGCTAAGTCACTCCCCAGCTTTTTGCCAACACTCTTCTCTGAGCCTAGGGTTTCTGTTGGGTCGCTTTTCTTTACATGTTCTTCATTAGGTTGTGCTTTTCATTAAGTAGGTAAATTGGCTATGCACAATGAACCTTTCTTCAGGCCTGCACGTTCCAAATGTATTAAAAATTACACCTGTGCTATGCATTACAGCTGCTCAAATCCATACGCTTCCTCTGGGACAAGAGAAGGTGGTGTGCTTAGCCTCCTGAGTTTGGATGTTCAGACTCATTCTAGTTTCATGTTGGCAGATTTTACCTTTCCTCCCTCTCTAAAAGACCTCTCATTTTATGACTAAGACTTTGTTTTTAAAGTATTATCATGCAATCATAGAATCATAGAACACTTTGTGTTGGAAGGGACCTCAAAAGATCATCTAGTCCAACCCCCTCCAGTAAGCAGGGACATCCCCAACTAGACCAGGTTGCTCAGAGCCCCAACAAGCCTGACCTTGAATGTCTCCAGAGATGAGGCCTCCACCACCTCTCTGGACAGCCTGTTCCAGTGTTTCACCATCCTCTTTCCAACTTCAGTGTTAAAAGAAATATTTAGTCCATCATCAAGGAGTGCAAACTGCAGCAAGGAACAGTTCTGTTCTGGATAAGAGAGAGATCACTTCATACATAAAGAGAAGGGAGTGGTTGTTTTGGTCCCGTGGCCCTTTCCTGCTGCTGCATGAGATCTAGAGCATTTTTCACAGTTTTTTTGTTTCTAATTATTTTTTATCCCACTTGTAGGAGTAAGCAACTTGCTTCCTCCTGTCACTGAAAGACACACGTGTCATTGATTGCCAAATTCATCTCTCTCTGCCTCTGGAAGGGAAGCACTATGTTCACCCAACTGCTCTCTCAACCCTTTAATTTCTTGTTGTAATAATGAGACTTCCGCTCGCGCTTCATCGCGGCCAAGGCACGCCTGTTTACACTTCTGTTTCAAACCTGCATGTTCCTCCCTTCGTTGCTCGAATTCTTGGAACGCAGTATCCCGCTCTTCTACTGCCATACTAGTAGTGGTCCTTCAGTTTGTTATTTCTTGTGACAATTTGTATTGTCACATTGCAACTTGGCAATTTTCTCCTCCGTTTCTATCATTTGTCACCCTACCACCGCACGATCTTCCATCATTTTCTCATTCCTTTCCATTAATCTTTCCATCTCCTTTTTCCAGTTCCGATGTGCATTGTCAAACCTGTGCACATCTGCAGACCCAGGCACACCTGCAGACCCTCTCAACTCCTTAATCTCCCGCTGTAGCTCCTTAACTTCCTGCTGTAACTCCTTATGTCCCTGCTGCAGCTTCTCAAGATCTTGCTGTGAGCCTTTTCCTTTGAGTCTTGTCTCAAATTCCAGTTGGGACACTTTCCCTTTCATCCCTTGTTCGAACTCCTTCTTTGACACCTTATCCCCACGCTCCTGATGTATCACTTTAATCTCTTGCGATAGCTGCTCATTAGTCATGGTAGATTTTGCCTCAACAGCATCGTCCTTGGCAGTGTCCTGAACTACCTCAGGATTTTCTGGAGCCCCAGTGGACTCCGCACGAACAACATCTCATGCCTCAGCTTTCACAGTAACTTTCGCACGGGTGGCATCTTGTGCCTCGATTTCCACGGCAGGGGTGCTCATTTTTGCTTCTGGTCTCATTTATGAAATTAGTTAAGAGCGTGGTCTGGGATCCCAAGAAATCCTCAGAGATCCCACTTCTGACACCAAAATGTC